GCTGCCCCTCGTGGTGCGAGAAGAGCTCGATGGCCTGGGCGAGCAGGTCGCCTGCGCCGGACAGGGCAGCGGGCAGGTCAGCGGGACAGGTCTCAGAGTGGACGAGGGCCCCGTGACCGCAGGGGTGACGTCTGGCAGGAGGGGGCAGAGAGAGAGAGGCGTTCGCCGAAGCTCATGATGATCATCGCGGTGAGGGAGGAGGCGCGGAGGGGCGAGTCGCGCAGGTAGGCGCGGTACGACGAGCACGCGGACTTGGCTCTCCTCCGCGGCGCACGGTGCATCGCCGAGCGAGCCGCGAGGCCGGGCGGCGCCCTCGCCTCCCCGTCCTCGATGTCCTCCGAGCCGCGAAAGTCGGACTCCTCGATGTCCGAGTTCTTGAAGTCGAACTTGCGCCGCTCTTCGTACTCTGACTCGAAGTCCACCCCCAGCCACGGCGGCCGCGCCGGCGTCAGCGAGCCGAGCTGCACCTTGACGTCCCCGCTCCTCGCCTTCCTCCCCTTGGGAAGCTTGGAGCTCGAGCCCTGCGCGGCGAGCGGCGGCCGGCGTAGGCCCGGCGGCGTCGTCGTCGTCGCGGACGCAGGCTGGAGGACGCGGCGGAGGTCGAGCGCGCCGAGCCTCTCTACGGATGGCTCTGGCTTCTGCGCGTCGACACTTCGCGACGGCGCGGTCAGCACCGCACGCCGTTCGTCGATGGCGGCGCAGCGAATGTCCGCCGCCTCGGCCTCGGACTCGGGGCCGCTGTGGTAATTCCGGGCGGAGGCCCGGGGCGCAGCGTTTTTGCCCTGCTTCATTGACTGTCGCTACACAGTGCTCGAAGGATACTCGAGTACGGCGTCCGACCGCCAATGCGGCGCTGTTCATAGATCTATAGCGACCCAAGAGACCTCGGGGGGCGAGCTCATACCCCCGGCCCGCCCACGATTTTCCGCTCCCTCACCTGCCTAGGAATCTTGTACATCTTGTTTTGTAGCCGCGCTTTCTCTCTTATACCGGTACCTTTGGGCTGTCGTCGGGATCGTCCTCGCGCGGTCTTTCTCTTGTACCTATCCCCGCTCGCCGTTCCCCACACCGCGCCTGGCCCTCAAATCCCGAGGTCGAGAAACATGCCCAAGTGTATCCCGTGCGGTTTGCCGACCGCCCCCGCCCAGTGCGCCCGGTGTGCGTCGATTGCGCCTGCGCAAGGCCAAGGGGCGCACGCTGAGCGAGCGCCGCTAGGTCGCGGGCGGCGGGGGGCTGGGCCCGGATCTGGGCGCAAGTGTAGGGCTCGCCAAACACGCGTGCTCTCGCGCGCCTCGGAAGTCGGCCGCGTCGACGTCCGCCTCGCGGAAGGACGCGTGCGTCAGGATGGCGCCGCGGAAGACGGCGGACCGGAAGTCGCCGTGCGACAGGTCCGCGTGCGACAGGTTGGCGCGCTCGAAGCGTGCGCCCGCCCAGACGCCGCGGCGCAGCGTCGCCGAGACGAGGCGCGCCTCGGAGAGGTCCGCTGCCTCGAAGCTCGCGCCTTCACCCTCCGCCGCCGCCAAGTTGGCGAGCTGCAGCGTGGCGGACGAGAAGTTGGCGCGCGAGAGAGTGGCGCGCGCCAGCCGCGTCCCGCCCAGCCGCGCGCCACTCGCGGAGACGTCCTCCAGCAATGCACCCCGCATGCTCGCCTCGTGCAGATCGGCGCCGTCCAGGAGAGCGCCGCGCATGTCGACGCCGTCAAAGGAGGCGGCGCGGAGCGACTGCCGCCGCAGATCCGCCCTGCGCAGGTGCCCGCACGCCCCAAAGTTGGCGGCGGGTGCTTGCCGAAGCTGCTCCTCGAGGCAGCGGTTCGGAGGCGGGTTCGGCGGAGTCAACGGCGGCGGTCTCGGCAGTGGAGGCGGAGGAGAGCTGGGCGGCGGCACGGCTGGCGGCGGCGACGGCGGCGGTGGCGGGCTCGGCGGCGGCGTGGAGGGCGGCGGATACGGCGGCGGAGGCGGCGGCGACGGCGACGGCGGCGGCGGAGGCGGCGGCGACGGCGACGGCGGCGGCAGCGGCAAGGGCAGCGCCGGGAGGTGAGTCAACTCCGAGTTGAAGGCCTTTGTCTCTCCGAGGAAGACACTGACCCCCGGGCTCGGCTTGATGCGGCACGCGTGCCCACCCATGGGCAGCACGTGCCATACCGGCTCCTTTTGGATTATACAGCGGTTGTACGGCCCGCCGGTGAAGTGGTAATCGGTGGCGACGCAATCCGATCGCCCGAGGCACATCGACTGGCACTCCGCCTCGCTTACGCGCCAAATCTCGTCCACCGAACCATACGCGCCCTGCTTCACCCGGCAGCCGCCGCGCTTGCCGCCAGCGAGCGGCCAGAGGCCGCCGTCACCAGCGCGTCCGCTGCTGCGCCCGCGGGAGGCTCGAGAAACGTGCGGCTGCAGCGGCGGCGTCTGAAGAGCGAGCGGCGGCGGCGGCGGCGGCTGAAGAGCGAGAGGCGCATGGAGAGGTGGCTGGAGAGGGTAGGAGACGACGAAGAACGCGGTTCTCCAGGGCGGCGGCGGCGGCTGTTCTGCGATAGGAGGCGGCGTAGACGGTGGCCATCGAGCTAGTGCAGGCGGTGGTTTAGACACCATCCGCCCTCTCAACTTGCCAGTCGGTGCGATTCCAAATCTCTCTTTCGATGCGACACCGCGAGCTGGCACGCCGTAAGCAAAAAAACTTTGTATGAATTGTGATTACACTACCGATGGAGATGACTGCTCTATTTATTTATATACACCTCGGTTCAGCTCATCTTGGACGGACGGTGATGCGGGACCCCCTTTCGACTCGGGTGTTGTGTCGTGTCGTGTCTCGCTCGGGGCCGCTCGGCGCCCTCTCGGTCGCGTGGGTGCTGGCAGCAGGCTGGCTCAATCAAGAGAATATAGACTCTCACCTCGAGAACTTAACACATTTCCCGCTCACTACGAGAAGCCCCCGCACCGCACCGTGGCTGGCCTCGCGCCGCCCTCGCCGCCACCGCCGCCGCACGCCCGCAGACTCTGCCAGAGAGACAGCGGCGCTGGCTGCTGCGCCGGGGGAGGCCTCGCCCCGCCCCCGCCATAGTCGCGGCCGTCAACGATCGAGTAGCCGCGGCCGAATGCGTCGTCGTACCGCCTGTATGACGCTCTCCTGAGCGCCCGTCGCTCATCGCGCGCGAGCTGCTCCACACCCTTCTCGCGCATCGCCACCTCGAGCTTGCGGGTCTTGCTCCCCTTATCTGCCGCCTGCTGCGCCGAAGCCTCGCGCGCCTCGCACAGCGCCGCATCTTTGACCGCGTGAGAGGTGATGTCGTACGCCACGCCCTCGCTCTTTTGGAGCGAGGGCGGCAGCCGCCGGTACGACTTGTGCGGCTGCTCGGCCAGCGCCGCCGCCTCCCTCTCCCTCAGCCGCGCCTCCTTGTGCGGGTTGTAGAATTCGCACTTGAGAGGGTCGTAATCGTGCGTCTCCCAAAAGCTGTGCGCCGCTCGCCGCCGCTCCCTCGCCTTGTCCGCTGCAGTCCGCTCCTCGTGGCCCCGCACGTACCGGCCGGAGAGGAGATCGTGCTCCCGGGGCCGGCTCGTCGCCGTCTGAAGCTTTGGCTTTGGCTCGCCAACGAGCTCCGCATCAGTGGGCCGTGCGGCGGGCGGGAGGTACGAGTGGTGTGCGACTGAGACGCCAGAGAGGATGTTGTACGGAAGCTCCCGCCTCGCGGCGCTGGTTGGCTGGAGCGCGTCGCTGCCGGCGGTCGAGGTGGCTGTGCTGGAGGTGCTGCTAAGGCCAGGGTGCTTGCTGCGCAATGTGAGCAGGTCGAACTCCGACTCGAGCGAGGTCTGCCGGTCGCGCGCGCGGTTGAGGTGACGGGTCACCATGGTGACCTCTTGTTCCCGCACCGAGGCCTCGCTCCCGTCCGTGAATGTCTGCAGCAGCGGGTTGTACCGGGCCTGCTCTGCGTGCTTGGAGGCGTGCGTGACGCGTGCCCGACCCTGCTCGTAAGCCTCCAGAGGGGGCTGCGCCTTCCGACCCGCCTCGTACTCCTTCAGCATGGCGCCCCACGCGGGCACGTCCGGCTGAATCATCGGGCCCGCGGGCATGCGGCTCGGGAGCTCGGCCGACTCGTCGAGGAGAGATGTAACCGGCAAGTATGCAAAAATTTCTCGCTAGGCGAGAGGGCGACAGGGTACGACAGACATAGGAAGAGGCGGACGCCCAAGGGTGGGCGACGGCTAGCGCACCACACCCCTCTCCTTAAAATCCCTGTGTGGTGGCGGCGTGCCGTCCTCCCATCCCTCCCTTGGGTTGTCCGTTTTCTTTCTTTCTTTTAGGGTACGACAGGACAGTATGTATTAGTAGGAAGGTGAGTTTTGGACGGAGGGTGGACGCGTGCAAGCCCCGCAGAGGTGCGGGCGAGAGGGCGGCCCGAGCCCGAAAGGGCCCGCCCTCGGTCTTGCTCTACATGGTAACGGATAAGAAGAGAAACACCCCCGGGATATGGACCGGGACACGCTGTGCCTGTGGTTCAGACGTCCCCCCCCTCGACGCAGTCGAGTGACTCACATGAATAGGGAGGAGAAAGTGTCCCCCCCATATCACCACAGACGCAGCACAGGGGCTCCAATCCTGTCCCCCTGGGGGCATTTTCGTGTCGGCGCTGAGGCGCTGCTCGACGCTGCCGGCCTCTTCCGCCGCTACCACGTGCAAGCCCCGCAGAGGTGCGGGCGAGAGGGCGGCCCGAGCCCGAAAGGGCCCGCCCTCGGTCTTGCTCTACATGGTAACGGATAAGAAGAGAAACACCCCCGGGATATGGACCGGGACACGCTGTGGTTCAGACGGGACGCGTCTAACCAGAATCCTTCTGGTTTATTCCAGCCCACTACTTCTCTTCCACCTGGTGGTGCGATGGGCTCCCTCCCGCGTGCTGGCAGCCCTCTGTCTGTAGCATCAGGTGCAAAGGAAGGAAGAAAGAAAGAAAACGGAAAATAAGGGAGGGATGGAGGACGGCACGCCGCCACCACACAGGGATTTTAAGGAGAGGAGTGTGGTGCAAAGGAAAGAGTGGGCTGCCCACCGGGGGCGGCGAGATGCATACTTTCGATTGCTTGCTTCGGCGGGCGGGTGACGGGCGACACGCGCACACGTGTCCCAGCATATACACACTTGCTCAGCGGCACGGACGCTCGCGCGCCACGACGATGGCTTGCTTCCTCGAGTGGAACCCGTGGGAGTCGGATCGCGTCATGGGACTGAACCACCAGATGTCCTCTCTCTCTTGCGCTCTCGGCGAGGCCTTCTTCCTCAACCGAACGCTCCTCGTCCCACACCGAATCTGCCTCGACGCCAAGCACGAGGCACGGCAGCGCGGACTGCGGAGACAGATCGACGAGAGCTGCACGGCGCGTGGCATCCGCGCCTTCTCCGTGCCGACGAGCGAGTTAATCGACCTCGACTTGCTCGGGCGCGTCGTCTCGATTGCACAGACCGCACTCCCGCGCCGAGCCGGCGTGAGTGGAGGATCCATCCCAGCTCCCGAGTCGGCGGTGGACATCGACAGGTCTTGGAAGAGCGATCGCGTGGCCGCCAGCTTGCCGTGCTCGGCCGGCACGCGGCTTGTGCGGCGTCGCGTCTCTGGCTTCTGGTTTCGGCCCTGCGGGTACGGCATCACAGACACGCGGGCGCTGATGGCAGCGCTGCTGGGCGCCGTCGGCGCTCGCAGCAAGAATCTTGCCTCGGCGCGAGTGCTGCCACACCTGCTCCGAAGTGGCCTCTTCTACAGCCGTGCGATCAAGCGAGCCGCTCGCGCAGTGCGCCGCAGCATTGGCAGCGCCCCTCCGCCTCGCCGGCTCGCTCGCGCCTCGCGCGCCTCACGCAGACCGCACCGCGAGTTAGGCGGGCCGTTCGCCTCTCTGCACCTGCGGCGCGGCGACAAGTTTTCGTCCGGATGCGAGCGAGCCCAGTTTTCGCTCGAGGAGTGCGCCTTCATGGACGAGCACACGCGGCCGGAAAAGCTGCTGAGCGCGCTGCGGCTCTGGCTCCCGCCGGGCACGCGCCTCTTGATCGGCTCGACGGAGCCGGCCGCCTTTTTCGCGCCGCTGAGGAGCACGTACACACTCCACTTTGTGGACGACTTTCGGTCGGCCTGCTCCGACCTCGCCGCGATCACAACGAACTACGCCCTCTACGCTGTCGAGACGCTCCTCTTCTTCGCCTCGACCGCCCACGCGCGCGCCTTGTAGCGCCACCACCACCACCCGCTACCCTCCCGCCGCCGCCGCCGACCTTGCCCGCGCCGACCCGCAGGTGGAGACTTTTGGCTTCTCGGCGGACTGGTTTGCGGACGCTTGCTTCCCAGCCGCTGCGCTGGCGGCATCCGGCGCGCACCCGCATCTCGCTCCCCCTCCCAACGTGAGGGGCGTGGAGGTGTCGTGTGCTGATGCCGCCGGGCTCAAGGTGAACGGGGTCCGGTATGGCCGCGCGTGCATCGACAACCCGCCCTGCAACCGGATGAGCTTTCTGCCCGCGCGACACCGGCCGGCGCTCAGCTGCAACTCATCGGTGGTCGATCCGCTCGTGGTGAGCGACCGCAAGTGTGGAGAGAGGAGAGTGGAGCTTGCGTTGGCGGGTAATGGTCACAATGTTGTTGTTTGAGGCAATGCACACAAAATTTCTCGCATCTCTGACACGCACACATTGCGCTTAAACCAAGATCTCTCATCATGGACGGGAGAGAGAACCCTGCACCTAACAAACCGTCACCGATTCCGCGATCGCCACGCCGTCTGCACGCTGCTCTTGTCGGTGACAATCGCGCTGGCACCACGCTCAACGGCCAAGCATGGATTGGTGGTGGTCGAAACGATCCCTGTCGTAGCGATCGTATCCGTATCCGTTGCGCTGCTGGCGGCGCCACTCCTCCTCGCGCCTCCGCTCCTCCTCACGCCGGCGCTCCTCTTCGCGCCGCTCGCCGTGCTGAATCGCCATGTACCCTGCGACGGGGTGGCCTTGCGAGGTGAGGGCGACACCGAGAGCGTTGTCGTGACCGGTTGCGAGCAATGCTCCGTCGAGTAGCAGCGCTCCCAGCTTCTTCTCCTCCGGTGCTGCAGTCGACGGGCCGGCCTCAGACGCCTCAGCGGAGCTGTCTGCCGCGTCCGCGGCGCCATCCTCTGAGGCCTCCAGCCAGCGACCGCCTCTGTGGTAGTCGCCATAGTGCTCGTGGTGGAAGGGATCGCCGTAGCCGTAGCGCTCTTCATGGCGGTACTGCGGCTGGTCATGGTACCGCGAGACCTCCTCGCGGTACCGCTCCTCGTCGCGGTACTCCTCCTCGCGCCGCTCCTCCCTGCGGTGCTCACCCATCTCCATCGCCGCGAGGCCCAGCATCGGGTGGCCCTGCTCCGCCAGCTCCATACCGAGCAGTTCGTCGTGGCCAGTCATGAGGAGAGCGCCGTCGAGGAGAGCGCCGCCGCCCCGCTTCTCCTCGGGCGGGGTGGCCATGCCCTCAGACAGGGTGCCGAACGCGTCGCCCGTCGCAGCGCCGGACGCCTGGTACGCCTCGCCCTCCTTCTGGAAGTCAAAGTCCGGGTCGGTGAGCTTGCGGCGGCCCATCGATCCGCCCTCGGCCAGCGTACCGAAGTCGGAGGTGGTGTCAGTGTTGAGGTCCTGGAAACGGTGGCCGGTGTTGGAGGCGGAGTCGGAGCTCGCCTGACCCAGCCCGCCCGTGATCCAGTCGAGGCCCGTTTCGATGCCCGCCGTGGTATACTTTGCCCCTGTGACGAGGCCCATCCCGGCGAACTGAATCCACGAGGCCGGACCGCGCTGCTCGTCGGGCGGTGTGGTGATGGCGCCGCCGAGGTAGCCGTCGTCGTTGGTGAGTGGGTCGCCGCTCGACGCCGGGACGACGGGAGCCGCTGGTGAGGCGATGGCGAGCGCAAGCATGGTTGGCGAGGAGCAGGAGACAGGAGCTTGCGGAAAGTGCTCCTTGAGTCGCAAGGTGGATTAAATTGGCCCTTTGTTATTTCCCGTTTTTACTATATGGTACTAAATGGAAAATAAAAATCCCCGCATGCGAGAGACGGGCCCGGCGTGACGCGCGAGAGAGGATATGGGCAGCGCGAGCAGGATCATGTGAATATGCCTGCAACCTGTTTCCCTCCCTGGATGTATGTGCACTTGAGCACTAGGCGAACCCGACGCTGCAAAAGGAACTTCCGCCTCTCCCCAGGCGCAGCTTCGAACGCAGCTGTCAAGCTCTCATCCGGGCGGCAACGGCGGCGATAGCGATGGCGGTGGCGACTGCGGTGCCTCAACGGATCCCGCTGCCCTGAACGCCGTCGAGGCTCCCAGCACGCAACGCGCAGCTCCGGGCGCGAACCTCCTGTAGCCCTTCTCGCCCGACACACTCGAGGTAGCGCTGATTGCTGTGGAACGCAGTGGCGCGGTGCGTCTGCCGCCGCCGGACGTGCGTGTATAGGATAGGGGCAACGGCAGACAAACTGATGGACGGGAGGGAACCGAGAGAGGGCCACCGCGGCCCGTCTTGCAGAAAGAGCGCCGTAGAGCGAGTCGGCCAGGCATGGAGGCTGCTGCCGCTGCTCTACCACCTCTCACTCAGTATACTCGAGTACGGCAGTTCGCGTTCGCTTTTCATCATCTCTGAATCACGAAAGAAAGGAAAGAGCCTACATACGCATGTATGTATGTAGTAAGGTGAAGAACAGCCAGGCTCGGACTGGACACCAACGCGGTATGGGTGGACGCTGTGGACAGACGATGATGACGGCACGCACGAGCGACACACAGACACAAACAGGCTCACAAGACACACAGCCAGCTGGCTGCCACACACCCTCCCTGAGTTGGCGTACACATACGCATAGGGGTGCTGCGCCACGGAGGCACTCCGGGCGGCGTATGCGATGTGGGGGGAGGGCCGGGGAGATGCTGCCTCGGCGCGCGCTGCCGCGACGCGGCACGGAGTCGACCGGGCCACGCCGGCGAGGGAGATGCGCTCCAGCGAGGGCCGCGTCCTTGAAACCGCCGACGCGTTCCTGGACGACAAGGCCGATCGACTCTGGAGGACGCGGTCGGCAGCACTTCGCGAACTAGCACAGAAGGTTCGAGACGGCACGGATCTTGTGCTCTTATGCGCGGGTAGGATTGAGTCCTGTCACGGCGATCTGCTGAGGAAGGGGATCCTAGCCGAAGCGGCGCAACTCGAGGCCACCAGCAAGAGGAAGCCGCGCTCCGACAAGGGCAAGCCGAGGGGTCCTCGGGGGCCTAGGGCCGACTCGGTGGAGACGGCGGCCCGCATGGGGGTGCTGTCGACCTTCTACCTCCGGCACGCTTATGGACGGGACAGCCCGGGGCTGCATGAGGAGGACGGGGTGCTCTCCGCAAACGGGGGGGTGCTGTGCGCAGGGTGCGGGGAGGAGGCGCCCGGGCTTGGGGCGCGGGACGGGGAGGGGGGAGGCGGCGGAGGGGGCGGCGGGGGGCGGGAAGGGGGGGGCGTCGCGGGGGAGCGGGGGAGGAAGAGGGGGAGGGACCCGACTGAGGAGGAGGCGGTGGGGGTGGAGGGTGGGGAGGCGGGAGACGTGTTTGGGGAGATGGGGGATCGGGAGGGGCGGGAGGAGAGGGGCGGGCCATCGAGTGGGGCCGGGGCTGGGGGCGGGAGGCGGCGCCCGAGGGGCACCAAGCGCGAGAAAACGCGCAATCGGAGGGAGGCTGCCCGGCGGGAGGGTGGGCTGACT